CGGTTCTTTTGTTGTTGTGGCCGCCCCCCCTCCTCCCCCTGCCACGAATTCAGCCCCCTCTGCACAGCCTCCCTGCTGCTTCCCCCACGGGCTGGAGCAGGGGGCAGCTGGGGCTCGGTTTCTGGAAAGGACTGAGAGCGGAACATGCCGCTGGGGTCATGGCCATAGTGCGCGGTGGTCACTGGCTGTGGCCAGGCTGCGTGGGTGCCCTCCCGCTGGTAGCCAGCTAAACCCTCCTGTGCGGAGTAGGAGGGGTGCACGGGAGCTGTGTGGCCGGTGTGAGCAGGCACTGCCCGGCTGGCAGACTCATAGTAGCCCCCGCCATTGACCATAGGCTCTGCTGGGTAGGGCTTGTCCAGGCCGTTGGTCAGTGGGGACATGGCTTCTGGGTAGCCTCCTTCACTGGTATTGGTGACCCCATCCAGAGAAGACAGTGTACCCATACTGCCCACACTGTGCCCATCCTGGTTGGGCAGCTCATCGTCCAAGATGTCCGTCTCTCGCTCAGAAGCCAAGGCCCCACCGTTGACATGAACCTGGGCTGGGACAACATGGCGGCCAGAGGAAGGAGCAGCAGGACCCCCTGCTGGGCGGGACCTGAGGTGCTGGGTGTGGTACATGGCACCTGGCTTCTCTCGCTCTAAGCCAAAGCCACTCAGAAGACGCTCCAGCTCCCTCTTCTCGTCAGGACTCAGGGCAACAGGAGCACCGGAGGCTCCAGGCACAGGCTCATCAGTCTTGTCTGTCTTGGTGGAGGCTGTGGAGTTGCCCGAGTCACTGCTCACGGACAGTGTGTGCTCCACGTGGTTGGGGGTGGCCGACAAGGCAGGGCGTGTGGCATTGACGGCCCCGGTGCTGCCATGCAGGGAGTCCTTCTTCTTCACCTTGGCATACAGGCTCCCATCCAATGGCCCCTGCGTGTGTCCTACCACCTCTGCAAGGGAGAGAACAGAGGGTGGGGCAGAGATGTCAGTGAGAGGCAGGGACACCAACTCTTCTTCCAAGGAAAGGGTTGAAAACTCCTATGCCCTGGATCTAAAGCCTTCTCTCACCATCCTGAGGTGGGGAGAGGGGAAAGGACAAAAAGGCTTCCACAAGGCTCTGGGGCAGGCCCTTCACCAATAGCCAGCTCAGGGCAGGCAGTGGAGCCTAGCTGAGGTTGAGTAGAGGGTCCTGGGGGTAGATTGCCCCAGTCCTAAACACAGAAGCATGAATGACTCTCTGGGCCTCAGTTTTACTATCTGTAAAACAGGGATAATAAGATAATCAGATTGAGCTATATGAAATTGCCAATATGCATTGACCACACACACTTCCCATTTAAATTAGCTGACACATACCCTGTGCTGAGACCAGTACCCAGTACATGGTGAGGGATCGGTAGCAGGGAGCTATAACTGTCACCATTACAAACAGTAATTCCTAAATGATACTATCTGAAGCATGCTCGGTCCTCTCGACTGCCCAATCTCTGAGCGTTTCACCCCTGCTTCAGTTCCTGGAAGTCCCACCCTGGATTAGAGGTAGAATGCCAGGAGAGGCGATCATTGCCTTAAATACACATGAGGATGTCAATGTCAGCATGGAGAACGGGTTCTTCTGACAGCAGTCTTTGCTCAGGAAAGTAGGGAAGCACCTGGGCAGGGTGTAAGGGTGCAGCGAGGGTCCACCATGCCCAGAGTACAGGGGATGGGGGAAGTAGGCTGAAGGCAGGGCCTGGCTCTCTAAGATGAACTGGCCCTCACACCTCTGTAGGTGAGTTTGTCGCTGTCTCAACACAAAGAATTTTCTAGAACTGCCCAGACATACAATGCCGTTCATCCAGCCCACCACCACATTTCCAGAGGCCTCTCCCAGTTCCTTCCCCAGCACTGCCCCACCACCCAGGCCTCAGGAGCAGAGGCAGTGTCAAGGGCAGGGCTGTAGCAAGCCTGCAAGAAGCATCCAGATCCCTGCTGCTCCAAGCCAGCCTCAGGACCCTGAAGTGCCGAGCCAAGGTGGAGTTCAGCAAAATCAGCAGTCCCTGAGCCAGAGGGGACACACTTTGCCTCTGCATGGGGGGTTGCAGGGGAAGCAGGATGCTGGAGCTGGGTTCTGGGCTCAGGATGATGGAGGAAGCACCTCAGAGATCGGGAACAGAAAAGCAGAGGTCTTCATCAGGGAGAGGTGGACTTTTGTCTGCAGACAGCTCTGGGGACCCTGGTGAGCAACGTTTTCTCCGAAAGGAAAAAGTGAGCGCTGGGTGGCTCGGGGCCAAAGGGCTGACTCAGGGACAAGGAACTTCCCCCGCCCAGAGGAACTCAGTGATTTCACACCCTGTATAGGCAGCAGCCCAGCCTCCAGCCCCAACACACACACACATATGCATATACACATATGCACACACACATGCATAAGCACCTACCCTCTTCTCACTCTAATCCAGGCCCCCAGTTGGCAAGGAACAAATTCCCCTCCCAAAGACTACACCAGCTACAACCCAGACACCAGTAGTCACACAGAGAAGCAGACAAAGACAACCAGCCAGAAATCACCCAAAGCAAAAACATCCAGATATACACACTCTTGGGTGCCCACGTGACACCAAGAACCACAGGGACACAGCCAGAAAACACAGGTGGATATGCATATGCACATGCCAGGAATAACGGTTATGGTGCAGCCAACTCTGATGTGCCAAACACTTTGTGAAGCACTCTGCACAAACATTATTTCTAATCCCATGAGTAAGAAGTACTATACCCATTGCATAGATGGAGAAGCTGAGGCTCTGAGAGGAGAAACCACGCAATTGCAAATACACAGTACCAGAGTAAACCTATGATTTAAAATCATAACTATTTTGCTCCAATTATTTTATATTATACTGTACTTCTCTCATCTCTCTCTCTCTCTCTCTCTCTCCCTCTTACACTCTCACACACACACAGAAAGCAGAGTAAACACATAAAAGACAGGAGTACCACAAAATAAGTACTTAAATTTAAAGCCGCAAAGATTGTAGAAAATACAAATGTTCCCATTATGCCCAAGGATCAGCCCTCAGGCCAAAAGTGGCAGCCTCTAAAAATACACATCATACAGAAGCCAGAAACAAGTGATCAGACGACCGCAGAACAGGAACATCCTGATTGACACGCACGCGCACAGACACACACACGAACCACAATTACATCACCCAAGAGCTAGCACAGAAAGGACTTGCCAGGCCATGAGGCCCCGACTCACTCCGTGGAGGCTGGGTACTTCGCCCATTCTCTGAACTCTCCACCATCTCTTTGCCCCGTTTTCCCTCAGGCTTCAGGACCTCAGCCAGCCACCAGCTTCAAGCGACACAGAGTTAAGAGTGTGGCTGCAGCCCGGGGCTTGCAAGGCTCACAGGGCCAGGGTCAAGACTGAACTGGAAAGGTGCTTTGGCTGAGATACGTTCTGAATCTCCACTGGCCAGCCCCCATGGCTTAACCCTGAAGGGCTGTTAAGATAGAGATCCAGGCATGCTGCTCATCCGATGCTGCGTCCCTCTGAAGAACTGGGCTCCTTGCTACGTCCCTCTGAAGAACTGGGCTCTTTGCTACACAAGAAAGAAGAGACCTAGGGGGCTGTTTCCAGCAGGCCAAAGTACTGAAGATAGAAGCCTCTCACCCATTCAGACATCTGGGCAGTTCTCCTGACCACAGTTTTCTGACCACTACGGTCAGAAAGCACGAGCACGCATACCTACATGCAAACACCAATAAGAACAGCAAACATGCCCTCAGACCAGCTATCAGAGTTCAAAGAGCTGGTTTTCCTTCTCATGGGGCCTGGGAGGCTGCAGGCCCATACCTGGGCCCTGGATCCAATCTGTGGCCTGCACCTGAGATGCCATAGTGTCCCTCCTGGGCCACTAGTTCCCTCCTACCCCTGTACCCTTTCTAACCTCAAATCCGTGCTCACATGGCCTGGAAGTGGGGAAGGCAAAGGCTGGCATGTCTAACAGCTTCCCTCTGACACTTAGGCACAGAGGGCCACAAAGGCCGCAGGTGCACACAGGCCCTCCCCAGCATTTCACTCGAGGTTTATAAGAGAAGAGTTTTCAGAGATCTGCGAGAGCATCTCTCAGGACAGGGTGGTATGGAGGTTAAGGCACTGGATCCCACATGGCCGACTGCGTAGTTTGAGTCTCAAACTCTGCGGTTTAAACTCATGCCAGGCACATATGCATGCACGCCCAAAACCCTGTAGAGAGAGTGGAGAAGGGACTGAAGTGTGGCCATTCCCCTGGGTGGGGGGGGAGGACGAGTTCTCACTTTCCCTCTCTCTGTGTCTCTCTCTCTCTCTAGTGAGTGCATATGCCCTATAACAAAAAAGCTTAAAAATATAAGAGGCCAGCAGGTGGTGTGGTGGTTAAGGTGCTGGATTCCCATAGGGTTGAGCAAGGTTCAAGTCTCGGATCTGGCAGCTTGCTTTCTTCTTTTCCCTTTCTCTCTCTCTCTGGTCAAATTTTTAAAATTTATAACAAATGAGGGGGTAGTAGGTGGCATGGTTAAGGTACTGAACTCCCACAAGGCTGACCACAGGTCAAGTCTTGGACCTGGTGGCTTGCTCTCTCACTTTCTAGCTCTCTCTCTCTCTCCTTCTCTTATCAAATTTAAAAATGATAATAATAAAAATATACATATTTAAAAATAATAACAACAAATGGAATTAAATAAATAAATAATTCTTTTTAAAAAAAAAAGAAAAAAGAAAGCATCTCTCTAGGCAGGGGAGAGAGTTCACACCATGACTATTACCTGATATCTTGGCCCTGTCTTGCTCTGGCCAGGCCGCGATCTTCATCGATTTTGAAAATGTCAATCTTAAACACATTCTACTGTGTAATTTGTCCCCACACAGGTTACAGTTTGCAGCAACACGTGAGGAACAATAACAGCTGAGCCAAGGGCTCAAGAAGAAAATCAAAGAGGTTTAAGTTGTTTAATTAAATCCTGTTTGCTAAACGCAATCGCCAATGTCTCCTGCTGCTCTCTAAGAAGGAGTCAGTTGCTCCTGACCACTCAGAGCTGGCCACAAAGGCTAACACGCCAGGCTGTTCTGCACCTTCCCTGAGTTGTCCTCTTTACATCAAGGGGAGAGTCTGATGACACCCAGGCCTGTGTGGCCCCCAGGAAGACTCTGCTGAAACCCCAGTTAATGAACTTGACCTGCAGGACACAGCGCCCTCCTCCTTCCTTCAGAGATGAAGGTAGATGCCTTCCCCCACACCGGCACACGCGGTCTCGTCACTTCTCTCCCCAGCCACCACGGCGGCATTAAGAGCTATTTACCAGGACCACAAGAGGCCGGAACACAAGGTTGGTTTCAGTCTATCAAGGCAGGAAGGGCAAACGAGAAAGGCGGGCAGAGTGAGGGAAAGAAGTGAAATCAAGTGGGAGAGGAGAGGAGAGGAGACTTGGGGAGTGATGGATTTCAGGCTCTTAAGCTAAGGGGACACCAGAGCCATCTCATCAAAGTCCTAGCATCCTCCCTGGGAGTGGCCAGTTTGGATAAAACCATCTCAAATGAAAAGGAATTGGATACTAGTGGGAGGTGGGCATAGAACAGAGGGAGGAATCTACATGGTCAGGACCAAGGGTCTGGCAGGAGTGACAGTGGAGCTGAAGGATAAGCTGAGGCAGAAACACGAGTTCCAGGCAGTGCAGGGTGGAGAGTTCCCGGGTCCCAAGACCAGGCCAGCCTGGATGTCCTGCCTAAGGGGTCATCTCCCTGCCTCTGAGCAGAAAGGTCCTGCGCCCTGCCTATTTCTCTACTGAAGTTGAGGAATCCACTCTCTCCTAAGCCCCTGGCTTTGTCTGAATATGTCTCCCACTCATCACAGCAGCTGCTGGAAGCCCAGGGATCCACCCGCAATGCTGAACTTGATTGCACCAAGGGGCCCTTATTCCTTGGCGG